TGGTCACATCTGGGTCTGGTGAACCTTCCTGTGATCCTAGACCTAGCTGGAGGGCTTTGACATGGCACATTTCCCATTGCTTTTCAGAAAATCAGGCCTGACAGTGAGCTTTTTGAGGTCCGGGAGAAGACAGGTCCTGAGATACCAAATATGGCCCCTTCTGTCACCAATAATGCTGACCTGACTGACGCCCGAGAGATCAATTTTGAATACCTTAAACATGTTGTTTTAAAATTCATGTCCTGTCGAGAATCTGAGGTAAAGACTTGCAGCTGCTTTTTTGGGTGTTGGGCTCGTAGAGTCTATCCTGCATGGCTTCCCTCAGTCTCCTTCTACCTACTTCCCCTCATCCCTCAGTGCTGACCTGCTAAGCAGACTATAATGGGAAGTGGCTCCTGGGGAGATGTGGGTTCCCCTCTGAATTCTAGCTTTAATGCTGCTGAAGCTAAAGACCTAGAAACAGTCTGTCCAGCATGAAGAGCAGGGTAGCTATTGAGAATGTTCTCTTGGCTCTCAGTCCCCAAAGTGAGAGATGACTCAAAAAGCTGGAAAGCACCCACTACCTCATCCTTGTGACCCAAGGCAAACAGGAAGTGCTGCCATTTAACCCCTTAACTGCCTACCTACCACCACCACCCCACCACCACCCCTTGCCTATGGCAGTAAAAGTGGGTTTTGTTTCAGGCTTTTCATCTCATAAAAGCAGTGTCAGTGCTGTTAAACTTCTCACAAGAAGAAGAGAACATGCTCAAAGAAACTCTGGAATATAAGGTAAGCTTGCCTAGTCTGCTGTTTCCACAGCTGCACAGGATTGTCAGTTACCCAAGCACTGGCATCCAGACCAGCTCCTGAGGCAGGTGACCAGCCACAGCTGTACCTCAGCTTATTTGCTTTTTGCTTCTGGTTTTTCAAGACTGTTTCTCTGTGTAGCCCTGGCTGTCCTGCAACTTGCTCTAGCCTTGAACTCAGAAATCTGCCTGCCTCTGCCTCCTGAGTGCTGGGATTAAAGGTTTGTGCCACCACCGCCCGGCAACTTACTTGCTTTTGTAAGATGAGATTGACCAGGCAGTTCAAAGAACAGTCTTTTATTTCTAGTTTATGTATGAGTGTTCTGCATGTGCACCTGCACACTAGAAGAGGGCATCATATCGTATATAGATGGCTATGAGCCACCATATGGTTGCTGGGGATTGAACTCAGGACCACTGGAAGAGCAGCAAGTTCTCTTAACCGCTGAGCCATCTCTCCAGCTCCTAAAGAACATTCTTTAGCCCAATGTTCTGTTCTTTGTCACCACCAGATGCCAGACTTTGTTCATCATAGCATTTTCTTTTTTTGGGGGGAGGGGGGTTTGTTTGTTTGTTTGTTTTTGTTTTTCGAGACAGGGTTTCTCTGTGTAAGTTTTGCACCTGTCCTGGATCTCACTCTGTAGACGAGTTTGGCCTCGAACTCACAGAGATCCGCCTGCCTCTGCCTCCTGAGTGCTGGGATTAAAGGCATGCACCACCACTGCCCAGCAAACCTGGAAACATTCTTTTTTTTTTTTTTTTTTTTTTTTTTTTTTTTTTTTTTTTTGGTGTAGCTTTGCACCTTTCCTGGAACTCACTCTGTAGCCCAGGTTGGCCTCGAATTCACAGAGATCCACCTGCCTCTGCCCATCACAGCATTTTCATTGATGGCACTTCTCTATTGCTCCATTTCTGGCCTGGCACCTATATTTAACATTTTCCCCCCCCTGGGCTGGGGTTATAGCTCAGTGGTAAAGTGCTTGCCTAGTACATGCAAAGTCTCAGATTCAGTCACCAGCACAGCAAACCCCATGAAATTGCTAAGGCATCTGCATAAATGCTGTAATAGAATGGGAGAAACCCACCTCCAGTTCCACTCTCTTCTCATCAGTCCAGTTCCTTTCTACCATTTCTTTTCCTGAATCTGGGCTCTTAGCCTTGCAGACTGGGTTATTGGAAACTTCTTGGTTACTGCTGACCAGCTGGGATGACTAGAAGACAAGGGTTATTTCCCCTTCCACTGCCCCTAGTTCTGTTTCTCAGCTCAGGAGCCTTTTCTGTTTCAAATGCAGATGTCTTGGTTTGGATCCAAACCAGCTCCCAAGGGCAGCATCCGACCATCTATCTCCAACCCTCGGATACCATGGTCCTAGAACCACCCAAGGATGGAGCTACATGGGCTGACACTCTTTCTGTGAAAAGAACACTGACACACCAGACTGGGTGGGTTTTTAAACGCTGTAACTGCAGTATTTTGTACAAGTGTCTAGACACTGTTTACAAGCCTACCTGCCTGCAAGCTGATATGAACTTCAGAAGGGAGCCAACCCTGTCATTCTGGTTACCAAACAAGAGGGATCCTGAGCACTGACCAGATCTTCACCGTGCTGCTAATATCCCAGCTCTGGCCAGCTACAGTTGAGTCCTCTATCTTTTAACATTAGCACTTAAAATTGAAGTGATTGGCATGTGAGGTAACAACTAATTATCAAACAGAGGTGACATGACTTAAGGTGGAGCCAGTCCTTTCATAAAAAGCCAACTCAAGGGTGGTCTTTGAAGTCCCCTTACACTAGCATGTCGGGGTTCTCATGAAAGTATCATTTCACTTTGTTTCCCCAACCACCTGGAACTTGAGATGTGTCCATCTCATAGGTAACGGGGCCAGTGTGGACTGACAAGTATGCAACTTTCCAGTCCTGAGAAAACTAGCAAGCAGATGGAATGATCTCTACATATAGCACCAAATACACTCAATTGCCTTCTTAATGAATGTACTCGTCTTGGATGGGTTGCTGGTAAACCATTTTAAACTATTTTTTATAGCAAAATTTCTTCACTATTATAAACATGTCTCCTGTATTATAAAATCCACTTAAAAAGGAAAATCAGAGCACCATGTCTTTCTAGTGCCAGGACTCATGCCCCTTTGTCATTTTGCTTGCCTTCTGTGGCACCTGCTCTCTGAAGCGGTAGAATTTCTCTGGCTTTGCTCTGAATTCTGTCATATTACCACTGAGCAAAAGCTAGTCACACTTTTCTACTTAAGAACAACCTGCTGAATTCAATGGAAGCAGGCTCTCATTCTCCTACCCAAAGTATTTAACACTACATTCATACATGGCATCCAGACAGCCCAGCTGGCTGCCACACTTGATAGCACACATGCCTCAGTTTTAGCTGATAGAAACTTATGTTCATTTTTACACTTCTTCTGGATAAGCCACATCAGATCTCAAGGGAAACAATTTGAGTTTGATCAGTTTCATTAGCAAATAAACTGGAGCTTCTAAAGTTACCATTTATCTAAGTAAATTTATGTTTTTCAGCTTAAGGTCAACATATGTATGTATATACATATAATGTGCCGTACAGAAATCCAGGTATTTGCAGCATTTGCCTTCTAAGTCAGGATGGCATTGCTTTGGCTGTGGCTCTTCTTGGAAGTTTCCCTTTAGGGTGCCTCTTCCCATTTAGTGGGGACATGAAACCAAAGTCCCACTGCTCTGTGACTTTACTGAGGAAGATGTAGCTTCTCCACCAAGTAGGACTTCCTCCTTTCCTCCTGTCCCAGGTAAGAACCCTCAGAGGACTGGGCAGTCCAAAAGTAGCTACAATCCCAGCTTTGGAAGCCCTTTCTAGGCCTGAGGTTTCCCAGCCCCTTGAGCTAGTATTCTCTCCTTTCTCTCTCTCTCTGTCTCTCTCTCTTTCTCTCTCTCTGTCTCTCTCTCTCTCTCTCTGTTTCTGTCTCTCTCTCTCTCTCTCTCACACACACACACACCCCTACCTGCAGGTTGAGGTGTGGCTATGGGGCCCACTCATTTAAATGGCTTTCCTGCTGCATGTTGAGCTCCTCCAGCACTAGAAGAGTGCAGTAGCTATTCCAAGTGGCTTGATGCACTTTACTTCTATAAACTTTGGTGACGAGACAGTACGTGTAGCCCTTTATATATGAGCACTGGACTGTGATCGTACTACCGATGTAAATAGGGATGGATGGTGTTATCTGAAAACTGCTGTAGCCGAATCCTTTGTGGTGCAATACTTTTTGATTAAAGCTCCTCAAGATGCAACTACAGTGAGATTCACTTGATAAAGCTTGAGATGTGGTTTTTGGGTTGGGTTTTTTTGTTTGCTTTTCCTGTTTTTTTCAAGACAGGGTTTTACTGTGTAGCCCTGGCTGTCCTGAACTCACTCTGTAGACCACGCTGCCCTCTAACTCGAGATCTGCCTGCCTCTGCCCCCAGTGCTACGATTAAAGTCATACGCCACTCTCTACTGCCTGGCTTTGTATTTAGTATTTCAAGGGCTATAGATGTTTGTCTTTCAAAAGGAAGCAAACTCTCCAGGTTACAGATGAATAAATACATGATTTAATGAAACCTACAGCCTAGTCCTACCTCTTAAGCATCAGTGCTTCTGCAGAGAATCTGGGAAGGGCAAGGCCCATGGCACTTTAGCCACAGAGCTGCAAGAATATGAAATAGGGGCCTCTGCCAGCTTTTAAGCTGCAGTTATGATGCTCAGGAACACTTGCTTTATGGCTAATAGCTAACTGCTTTTGCTGGGGTTTAATTTAGTCTGGAAAGAAAATTTGTCAAGGCATGACTAACTCCTGTAATACATCAGACCCTACACCAAGAGATGGTGACCAGAACCTTCCCAAGACTCTGTAATCATACAAATGGATGACTTTTGAAGCCTCAATTAAACATTTAACATTTTATTAAATAAGCTCCAAAATTACATACAAATCAAAGGAGTAAGAAACAATAGATACCAGCAAAATGCCTCTTGGTAGCATCCAGGATCACTGTGGTCAAAGTGTGGCATAGCCATGGCACTGTCATGCTTGCCCCCTACCCCCACCCCTCGGGGATGGCAGGACAGGGACACCTGTATCCCTTCCACATCAGCTTTCTAAACCATCAAACTCATTCATTACCATCCCTTTCTTTACCATTTAACATACAGAGAACACACCGCAATGAATAGACTAGTAAGCCAAGAGCTTTATTGATGCAGCAGGCACTTTACAATGAACCCAAGAGAGCCTGTCTTCTCTGGGAAGACGGAGTGTCTGTACAAACTCTGAGGTTTTTTCCCACTTCAGAACCCAAGCCCTCCTTTTCACAGCAGCCCTTGGATCTGCACCTGCCCAAATAGTCCCTCCCCATTTCAAACAGTGTACACAAGTACACCTGACATAATCTGGCCAGTCAGTCTGATAGTCAAGTGTCAGTTCTGTGTTACTCTGTAGACAAAGGCGGAGACACTGATCCTGCAAAGAATTTAGGAAACAATAAGACAATTTCTCCCTCCACCTTAAAAGTAAAATACATTTCAGCAGATTTGTTTCCTGAATATTGAGCTGGGAGTTCAGGAAAATGGTCCATTGTCGGTCCCTTCTTCACCAGCCTGGGCATCCAAAATTCTTCTCAAGGTAACATGATTCTTTTTTTTAAACAGTCTTTCTTGCTGTAAGAACTCTTATAATGGAGCCTAGTCCTCCTACAGCTAAGGCCTGTGGGGACAGGAAAAGGAAACATGTCAAAATGGTACCTGACTGGCCAGAAGGGAGCATCACTTGCCTGGAGAGATAAGGACACATATTCCCAGACCTAAATCCCACCATGTTCCATGTTCCAGACTTGCTGGGAAAGATCAAGTTCTAGGGAGAGTCCCGTCCTGGAGCCAAAGGTCCCAAAAGCTGCCAACTCTTGAAGCAATAGAACTGGCTTGCGACCCCACGCACGAAACAGCCTGAGTTTCCTTGTAACAAGCTCACTGCTTCCAGCCTGCCACCACCTACCTATCCATGGAAATGCACAGCAGTCCGTGGAGAGCTGCCTGCTGACAGACTGACACAAAATCACCTCACAGGGATACAAGAGCCTTGCTACCACACCACCTAAGAGTCAACACCACCACCAGCAACTTCTAAGCCTAGGCAAAGATGAGGTTTAAAGGGCTCAGCACCCCCACCAAGAGGACCAGAGGCCACAGCCCATTGGCTGGAAATTGACCTACTAATAAAAGCAGCATTCTTAAAACTCACTACTGCCAAGGGGTCTAGTTCAGTGACTCACTTGCCTAACACATACCAGAACCCTGGTTCTGCCTCTAGCATTGGGAAAAAAAATCTCAAGCTGGAGATGTGGTTGAGTTGATAGAGTACCCAGCCGGCATATATGAAGTCCAGGATTCCATTCCAACACCATATAAACCCAGTATGGTGGCACATGCCTGCAATCTCTGCACAAACATCTAAAGTTCAAAGTCATCCCCAGTTAAACAAATTTGAGGGGCTGGGTGGTGGTGGTGCACACCTTTAATCCTAGCACTCAAGAGGCAGAAGCAGGCGGATCTCTGTGAGTTTGAGGCCAGCCTGGTCCAGAGTGAGTTCCAGGACAGCTAGGACTGTTACACAGAGAAACCCTGTCTCAAAAAAATAAATAAATTTGAGGGTAACCTGAGCTACATAAGACCCTTTTAAAAATCTCATGCTGAACCTCTTGGCAAGAACTTGGGGGAGGAGGGCGGGCTGGAGAGACAGCTCAGCAGTTAAGAGCAGCTGCTCTTCCAGAGGTCCTGAGTTGAGCTTCCAGCATCCACATGGCAGCTCACAACTGTCTGTAACTCTAGTTCCAGGGGATCTGACACCCTCATACAGACACACATGCAGGAAAACAATGAAAACAGGAAATAATTATTAAGAAAATAAAATAAAAAAGCTGTATTCTTCACAGACCAGTCTGGTCCCCTTAAGTGGTGGGTATATTCGCTGAAGTGTTGTGTGTGTGGGGGGGGGGGGGGGGCTTGCCTGACATATAAGCAGGACAAAAGCTTGACACATGGCCTTAGTCCTATACCTTCAAGTAATGGACAAAAAAGCCTTTTCTGCTTCAAGTAAATGAAAGCCATATTAAATAACTCCGATTTCTCCCAACTGCCCCTTCTGTCAGTGAGACTGGACCAGCATTTCTAAAATGTCTTCAGTTCCCTGATTGCAGCAGCTCTCTTCCACAAAGGAAACATCAAGCCCCTTCCTACCTCACCATGCCACCTGCCTCATGTTCTGTATCAAGGGTAGTTTGTCCTGCCTAGCCTAAATCCACAACTAAAAAGCAAACGTAGTATGACTGCCAGTATTTAAAGATCCTGATGAGGTGCTTCCAAGGTGAAGAGAAAGTGTGATGTCACAGCTTGGGCCTGCCATTCCTAAATGAGCATCCTATATCTGTTCTAATTCTGACATGCCGGTATGAACCTTAGGGAACTGCAGCCTGCAGTGGAGCGAAGTAGTCACATACCTTTTCATGCCACTGGAGTAACACAGCACTGCTATTTTCTGTAGGCTTCTCAAATCCTTTATAAATGTACTTCATTAACAAGTCAATGCCATTTCTATCCAGTGACTGCACAGCCTGCTCAATTTCACTGCTCTTAAAGTTTGTGAGTACTTTCAGAACTACACCCTGGGCTCGGTCCTACAGGGGAAAGAAAAAGTGAATGAGGCCAGAAGTTTCAATCCTAACACTGCTACAGAACACCACTGGACAAAACATGACAGAAAGGCCATCCCTTTCTAATTCACCTAGGGAAGAGCTACATAGATGAGCTGAACTTTGGCTTTACATTTCACTCTATCTCATATTTCTACAAATAAGTGACTCCACTTAGTGTTGAGATTACAAATAGTTTACTACAGGTAAATATGACTTTTTTTTTTTCCTGGTGCCAGGGATTGAACCCAGGGCAGTCCATATGCTGGATAAGCCCTCTACCACTGAGGTCAGCCCAACCTCAAGTGTCACTACTTTTGATACATCAGCAAGGCCTTAGACTATAGATTACATAGTTATCAAGCTACCTACTGCACCAGTATCTGGAGAATAGCAGGTGGCTTCCCAATGATGTATAACTTCTGTCTAGGCCTTGGGGAGCTCATGCTGCTACTGAGGACACAATCAAAGCCCTGGTCCTACCTTCACAGCTTGATTCTTGGTGTTGATTGGAGAGTTCCGCAAGGCTGCATGGAAGGCCCGAAGCATGTCCCCTGTGCATCGAGGCCAGTTAAGGATGGCTATGCTCAAAACATGTCCATGTTCTCATTAATGACCTTACTTAATAAACAGCTCAAGAGTAATCAAAGGGATCCTTATCCATACCAACTACTGTCTCCTGCTGGCCTCTTCCAGGCAGACATAGCCTATTATAGCCTTGAGCTTTCCTAATCTACAGGAAGGAGTGAAAGTTACCTCTGCTAACCTGAAAGCTCTTCCTGTGTATCTCCCTAAACCTTCCTCCTCAAAAAACTGCCCACTTTTGTAAGAGTGTGATAGAGCCTACGTGTACCTCCTCAGTACTAGGCACTGTCTGCCCTGCAGGATCTTCATGCACAAATGGACTGGAAGGAATTCTCTCTCACCTTCTCATTCTAAAAGGAAGAATAGAGACATAAACACATCTTAACTCTTCACTCAGTGCCTCTTATCAAACTATTAAAGAAATCAAGTTGTGTCAAGTCCACCTCCAGACCAGGCCTCCTAGTAGCACATGCCTTTAAATCTCAGCATTCGGGCAGAGGCAGATTAAATGACAGCCAGAGAGAGCTACATGGTTATACCCTGCCTCAAAAAAAAAAAAAAAAAAAAAAAGAAAAGAAAAGAAAAGAAAAGAAAAAGGGGGGGGGGGAGTCTATTTTCCAGGTCCCTTTTGGCCCACACAATGAGCCATTTGCTCCCTTGTCCCACAAACCTTAGAATCCCAACTCCACATTCACTGCTGAGTTCTGAATACCCAGCACACAAAAGAAAATTACAAAGTAGGTTATGTCCCCAAAGGTGACACCTATTTTAAACTGAATTACATCAGCCAATTTCATTTCCTCATGTGAAACATTGGCTTAAGCCAAAAAACTTCAAAAATAGAACAAGGAATGACTCTGCCCAATCAGGCCTTTACCCCTGTTCAGCAGTCCCCCTGTGTGACAGCTAGCCTCTGGTACAAACCCAAATTCCCAGCTTCCCCAGTAAGCACCATCTAGAAAAGCTGGTCTATGCCACCAGGCCAGCCACTCATCCACTGTGCTGGGTCAGACCTACCTTATACAGTAGACCAGCGCCACACCTTATCTTCTAGTTTTGGAATTCCTTTTCCTCAAACAAACAAAGGCTAATCCTGATACAGTCACTAATACCCCTTTTCCCCATAAGTTTTCTAACTTGGTATCCATAGACAATATCCCCAGAGGCTTAACAGTACACATGGACTATCATTTCATTTGCAAAATGGATGATGGGGAAGGACAGAAATGATGTAATTTAGTCCATGAGGACAAAAATGTTAGGCTGGGCACTGCTTGACCACCTGCAGCTTTTTGTCCAGCTCTGCAGCCACTGACAGTCAAGGGCCCCCAACTGCTGGGTAGAATGGGGAACAGGGGGAGCATCTCTGCAATCACACAAAATTTACTAAACTACCTCTATACCCAGATAGCTTCTAACACTTTCAGAAAACAGGTTGTGATAACTGAAGAGCCTTCTAGACTATTCTCTGCCATGGCCCTACAGCCATTTAAACCAGAAGATTCTTTGATGTGTGCTGCAGAATGCTTAACAGCCTCTCTGACCACCCTAAAGTTCCCAGTAACATCCTAAAACTATGATAATCAAAATGTCACCAAACTTTGCCAAATTTCTTTGGGGTGAAGGATGTGGAGGGCGGGGGTAAAAACTATAAAAGCCACTGCTCTATAGTCCTGCTTCAATGACCAGAAGCTGCTTTACTGAGGAAGAAAAGGAGCCATAGTGATACTTTAAAGCTTCCAGAGCAGAGGAAAAAAAATCTTCCCAGGGTCTTGGACCCAGGACCACAAGCAGTTAATATCTGCAAAATCCTCTAGAACAAGAACCTGACTTCTTCCTTCGAGACAATGAAACTGAGTCAGAAGAGAAATTTCCTGCCCAAGGTCAAGGTCACAAAGCTACAATGACCTTCAAATGCAAGCCCTCTCTACAATCCTTTGCCACTAGCTGTGGAGGACACCAGATGTTCGTTCAGTGAAGCGCCCATTGAAGTGGTGAGGACAACATAGTTTTCTGTATCATTTGGGGAAAGAATACTGAGGCTGAGCGAGTATGTGACTTATGGGAAGGTTTAAGCAGCCTATGTGGATGCACAGACAGCTTTCCACTTTCTCAATCTCCTATTCCACAATGACAATTCTCAGCACAGCCCTGAGACCACTTCCTCCTGGCCTCCCCCAAAACCTCTTTGCTCTTCTCTCCTCAGACTCACATGAGGTTCTGTAAATTGAATGCAATGATCTAAGTGCAACACTTGGCACCTCGAAGGGACTCAATTACTAGCTCCAGCCTTCTCCCTACTTGCCTGACATCTGCTAGGGTTTCACTTGTCATCTGCTAACCTCTCTTCTCCCAATCCCAAGAAGTACACTCTCCATGATAACAAGGTTTCTGATACTGACATGAATGTAGAAACGATCTCTATAAGCTAAGGCCAAATGCCTCACTCTGGAGCCTTGTCAACAATGAGTGCCCATAAGCCCGTCAATCTCCTGCACCACACTAAAAACCAATCTTCCCTCCAGGGGCCATTCTCATGACCCCATTTAACCATCTGAATGGTGCAGGAAATACAAGTTTGAAATCTCCACGTCTGAAAACACACTCCTGTTTTATTTGGGGCCGGGGGGGGGGGGGGGGGGGGGGGTTGATAAGATATATTAGAGAGCCAGGCAGTGGTGGCACACGCCTTTAATCCCAGCACTCGGGAGGCAGAGCCAGGCAGATCTCTGTGAGTTCGAGGCCAGCCTCATCTACAAAGTGAGATCCAGGACAGGCACCAAAACTATACAGAGAAAACCATATATTAGAGACTCACTAAAGGACTCCTCCCAAAAGCAGTAAGACTGACTTCCCAGGCTGAGTCAACCGATTAAACACCCAGAACCTGACTTATATACAGCAAGAGCCTCCAACCCTGCCCTAGCAAGTGTGGGGGAGGGGTACACACTTCCTGTCAAACCATCTGAATAAAGAAAAAAATATCTTCCTGTGAGAATAAATCAGTTTCCTGTGTTGCTCAAACTGCTAAGAGGCCAAGCCAGCTGTGACAATCACCTCTACTTTTACTCTTCTGTCCTAAACGTTTGTTTTCTGTGGCCACTAGAGCAGTCATTTCTAGTCTCCTGGGAACTACTTTTATACTTGACACTGTATGGTGTTTCTTAGTCTCCTATCACTAGCTTTTTTCCATGCTTCCTGCATAAGGCGGTTAATGAGAGAGTCGCAAATCACTTGTTGAATGTGGCTCGGCCCATAAAGGCTCAAAACCCAACGTGCTCAGAGGAATGTGGTGACAGGTGAGAAAAGGTGGCACGGCAATCTCACACCCTCCTCAACCCACCTCCCCTGGTCCGTCTACCCCCAACAACCCACCCACCTATTTTCTTCATGCTGGGCTGCAATCCGGCCCAAGAAAACCACAGACAGGCGCAGCAGGGCAGTGGGCCTGGCTGCTGAATGAATCCAAGGTGGCTCACCTCCGGCCCTCCCGAAGATCAGCGCCCAGGAATGACCCCGTTTCCTGCAAGGAAGGATGGAGGGATACTAAGGCTCATACATGGCCTCCCTGAGGGATGCGGAGCGCAGCCGGGCGGAGGTGTAAAACGAGCTCCAGGGCCGCGCTGCTGAGAAAGGCTTGAGGCCAGGGACTACGGACCCGGGGACCCCGGGACTGACAAGCCGGGCAGGGGCAGGGGCGAGAAGGGTGAGAAGGCCGAGCCCGAGCGGCCGCGCCGGGAAGGATATTGCCGCAGGAGCCCGTCCACCTCGCCAGGGTCGGGGCCTGGCTCGCCCGCCGCCGCCGCCGCCTCTTCCTGCTCGTCCACAAATTTGTTCTCGTCAAACTCGTCGATATCCACCCGACGGAAGCGCGAGGACAGCGTGTTCCGGGCCATGGCGGGAGCTCGGCGGCCGCACAGCCGGCTCGGCTCCACTCCCCTCCGCACCGGCTCCGCTCGGGGGCGGGAAGCGGCTGCACAGCACCTCCTCCCCCTCCTCCGCGCGCAGCCGCCGCCCGCCCACTTCCGGGGCACGCCGGAACCGGAAGCTCTCGTGGGCGGGGCAGTGCCGCCTGACTGTGGGACGCTGCTGTGGCGTAGTCTGTTAGTGCACCTGTTATGCGTCCTCCTCCCAACAACGGGCCTGCGAGCCCAGCCACCGCCTCCATCCGCTCCTGAAGATGAAACCCTTGAGCTGAGTCAGGGTGAGTGGGAGTGAAGCGCAGTGCCCGAGCCTGGCAACTTTGAACGCGAACCGCACTGACCCATAAGAGGATCCCTATCCGGTTACATAGAAGTGACCTCTTTGGCGTTAACGTGCAACCCAGGGGCTGACAGGACGCTTGAGGACATCTTTACTTGAAGATGTAGCGACCCCTGCTGGCGCTCCGGGAAAAAAAGATGATTCTGTGGCCACCTGTACTCCTGCAGGCCGATCCTGACTGAAGAGGCGTATTTTAGGAGGCGAAAGCAGCGTAATTCAGGAACTGATGGAAGAAGGGCAGTGGCTAGGACGCCTAGGATGCGGTTTCTCCTGATGTCAGCTGTAGGCTAAAATGTATCTTTTTCGTAATAATACGAAAAATTTTATTATAACATTTTCATCTAATAGAACTCGAGCAAAAGTCAGGAGTTGAAACATGGTTTTTACTTTGCATACTTCTCATCGAACTGTGTCTGCAGATCAAAAACTGCAAGGCTGATGCAACATAACTTGGGATGCTAAAGCCAGGCTCCCGTGGGAACGAGTAGATGCTGAATAAAGTCTCAGATCCTGAAAGTAGTCAAAACCCACCTGTATTCCTGCTCCATGCCTAAAAAGAAATTTGGGACGCAGGCAGGTCATAAAATAGCAGAAATTCATATCTGCTATTATAAAGATGTTCTGAGGAGAACATCTTTAAATTTTCTTTATTATTTTACTTTATATGAGTGTTTTGCCTGGAAGTGTTTCTGTGCACCACGTGGGTGTAGTGCCCGCTGGAGGACAAAAGAGGGCGTGGGATCCTTTGAAACCGGAATTACACAAATGGTTGCAAGCCATTATGTCATATGGATGTTCGCGATGGAACCCGGGTTCCTCTGGAAGAACAACCTATGCTCTGCCGAGCCATCTCTCCAATCCGTCCCTAGCATATCTCTTAATATCAGAAATACTGGTTTAACAGGGAAATGGCCTCAATGATTATTTGAGTGAATGAAATAATGTTCTAGTTCGTGTTTATGGATGTTTGTCAGATAGGCTTTTAAATCCATGATAAGAAATCTGACCTAGTGGTGCACCCCTGTAGTCCTGAGGATCAAGAGTCTGTGCATTATCCAGGTAGTGGTGGCACACACCTTTAGGAGCAGGTGGGTCTCTGTGAGTTCCAGGACATCCAGGGCCTCACAGAGAAACCTTGAAAGAAAAAAAACCAGAAAGAAAAAAAAAAAAAAAAAGGTCTGTGCATTTAGTGAAACCATGTCTCAAAATAAAAAGTACTTACTGCTCTCACAGAGGACCTGGATTCAGTTCCCAGCACTCACATAGTGGCTCACAGTGCTCTGTAACTCCACCTCCAGGGAGATCATTATCTCTGCTGTCACTGCACATACATAGCACACATAAAATAATTTTTAAAAGCAGTCTTATATTACATCAGGAATGGCAAAGTGCTAAGGAGAAAATTACTCAGTACCTGTAAGTCTCTCAAAGGGAAATGATTCAGTCTTTACTCGATTGGACAGTCTTGGAAATTTTGAACAGAGAGAAGTGGTATGTTTTAACTGAATTTTAAAAGTAGACTTCTAGCAGCCATATTAAAAAATATCTAGGAACAAGAGCTAAAGTGGTGAAGTGTGCTGGGTGTGGTAGGATCTCTGAATTTGATTTCCAGGACAGCCAAGGCTACATAGCAAGACTTTAAAAAAAAAAAAAAAAAAAAAAACCGGGCAGTGGTGGTGCACACCTTTAATCCCAGCACTCAGGAAGCAAAGGCAGGAGGATCTCTGTGAGTTCAAGGCCAGCCTGGTCTACAGAGCGAGTTGTAGGACAGGCTCCAAAGTTACGCATACACACACACACATACACACACACACACACACACACAAAAAAAAAAAAAAAAAAACCCTATTTCAAAAAAAAAAAGTTTATCTAAGAGTAGGCTCAGGTTTGGGGATTTAGCTCAGTGGTAGAGTGCTTGCCTGGGTTCAGTCCTCAGCTCCGGGGGTGGAGGAGTAGAGGGTGAGGAGTAGGCTGTAGGCAATAGTAGCTCATGCCAAGAAGATTCCAAAAGAAAAAAGGGGGGGGGGTGATGGGAACATATCAGGTGTTTTCAAGATAAAACCTACAGGATTTGCTGGTAAATTAGATGGGACATGTAATAGAAACAAGCAGTGTCAGATAACTTCAAAGATGCAGGTGTGGGAATGTAGCCTAGTGTGTAGTACTCATCCAGTACAGTGGAAATCCTGGGTTTAATCCTAGTGCTATAAGTGTTACAGATCTGAGGCAAAATGTGTAATTGTTACAGCTTGGATAGGAAGGTATCCTGAAAGTTGAGAGCCAAGGAATACCACAAAGTCACACCACACAGTAAACCTTACACAGGAGATTTATTGGGAGGGAGAAAACCAGGATGGTGGCTGTCTCTGCTTGGGCAAGAAACAGCAGAGAACTGAGCAGAAGGTAGGGTTTATATAGAGCTTCTTGGGAAGGAGGGTGGAACTTGTTAGGATGAAGCTTTCCAGGGTAGGGATTGGTGGGATTAAAAGTCCAGACTTTGGGCTTTTTACTCTGTAGGGAGGGGGCTGGGTCCAGCCATTAGAGCAGTTAGTGTGTTCTGTGGGTGGAACCTGACAGCTGGAGGTCCTCAGGGAGACGGGCTTACAAGCACTATGAAAATTTTCCAAAATTATGCATAATCATAACTCTAGTAGAATCCTGAGCATCTAGGAAGTTGTACCTTTAGGCTTCCATTTAAAACTAATTTACACTTTCTGCTCATTTCTCCATATCCCTTGACTTCACAGTAGTGTGGGACAAGGTTCATTTATTCATCCATCCAGTATTCACAAGCTGGGCCTGGAGAACACAAAACCGAATACATGATTCTGCCCTTGGAGACCTTTAAGACTGGTTCTGGAAACAGGCACAGGAACACAGCCTTTAACTCACTTTTATACCGAACATTTGGGATACAAGGGTAAGCTGCTACTCTTAGGGATGGGAGATGACTAAAAATCCTCCTTACACTACCTATTGAGTCCCTGATTGTTCTGCTACCCAGATCAGTTTTATGAACTGAACAGCATTGAGAAACTGCTAGAGAGGGTGGCTGCTGACTTGAAGGCTCCAATTCGTCCATATGGTCATTTATTACAGAAACTGAGTCTGTGTTGCTGACCTAGGTGCCAGTGGTCTGTCAAACTGTGGAGGTGAAGAGCTGTGGCCACATTAACCATGTTAATATCAGGTCTTGGCTGGGGGCTTTGCAGGTTGTCAGGTTAAGTCCTCTAATTCTCAAAGAGAGACTATTTTGCAGGTAAGAGAACCAACCAAAGATGGGAATGGAATTACCAAGATATCAACTAGTAACTAGCAATAAAGCAAAAATCTGAGTTTGTTTTGGAGTTGTTTTTATTTATTCATATTTCAGTGTTGGGGATTGAACCCAGAGCCTTGTGCATGCCAGGCAAACGCTTTACCTTTTGAGGCAGGGTCTCAATAAACATCCCAGGCTGACCCCCAATACTCTATGTAGTGTGGGAGGCTTGAACTCCAGATCCTCCTTTTCCACTGCTGAAATTACAGGGCTGTGGCATCATGTACAGACCTAGAGCAATAATCAGAAATCCAGAAAGTCTAGGAATGTAATTTGTACTGTTGTACAAGGTCTCCACCAGTTCTTGATTGACAATGGAGTTTGACTGTCTTACCCTTGCCAGGTGGTGGCACACTTTCAATGCCAGCTCCTCGGGTACATAAGTTCCAGATCAGCCCTGGAAACATATGGAGATCTTGTATTCAAAAACAAAAACAAAGCCGGGCGGTGGTGGCACACGCCTTTAATCCCAGCACTCGGGAGGCAGAGCCAGGTGGATCTCTGTGAGTTCGAGGCCAGCCTGGTCTACAGAGCG